ACTTGATTGAATATAAGTATCATTCAATAAATCCTTCATTATGGTTTGATCACTTTGTATGTCGTTATTTATTTGAGATACTTTCTGAATTGATAAATTTTTATTGGGTTAGTTAAAAATTAAAGCCTTCAAAAAATAGGTGATAGTAGAATAATACCTGAGATAAAGCATAAATTTCATTATTAACATCTTGCAGTTGTAGTTTAATATTGGGAAGTGTCATGGAATTGATAGATGACATTAATATTTTTTGATCTTGTATGTGTTTACTATTTGATTAAAAAATATTGTTTTTAAAGAAAATTAATTTAATAATAATTTAAACAGGAAAAAAACATGTATAAAGAAATGAAAAATACTCTATTTTTATAAGTTCATTTTTTATATTTTCTGGTAGATCAGAAAACCGAGTTTTCTTTGTTATACTGTTAATATTGAATTGTCCTCTATATACACATAGATTTGTAGGAACAAAATATTATTATTAAAAACAATATAAATAAAATTTGAAAATGAATCTTATGATCTTATGAGTTTTAATAGTTTACGTTGAAATTCCTAATGTGCTGGTGTTAGTGGCACTAGTTCCTGTTCCTTGAAAAATGTTTCTACTTAAATAGTTCATACTTGGTGCTGTAGTGGTTCCACCACTTCCACCAATACCTGAAAACAACTGAGCAGAGGTAGTGGCAGTTGATGTTGATGGCCAGCCAAAAGAACTTTTATTAACTGCTGTTGTACCAATTGAGCTTAATGACGGCATTAATAAACTAGGTGCTGTTGTGGTTGTAGTCCCAGTTCCACTACCTGTAGGATTTCCAAAAGTAAAGACATTTCCAGTAGTATTGCCTGGTTTTAAACCACTACTTGATATGTTGGTACTCGTACCAGGGGCCTGAAAAGTACCCGTTATTAAAGGATTATTGGCAATTCCACCAAAAGCAGTGGTGGTAGCTGGTTTACTTCCAAAAGAAAACCCTTGATTTGTTCCTCCCCCACTAGTTGTAGAAGCAGTGTTCCCAAATGCTGACAAACCAGTACCACCAGTATTTGTTTGAGAATTTGATGATGCATTTCCAAAAGTTGAAAAATTAAAAGGCCTATTTGAAAAAAAACAGGGGGGGGGGGAATAAGCTTTTCTATTTATATATATGTATTTTATTTTTAACTTACGTTTGAGACATCAAGAGGTTTGTGTTGATCTATTTTTATTTATTTTTTTGATCGACAAAAAAAAATGCATTTATTATTATACATTTCTTAAAAGTAAAATTGTAGATTTTACAAGCTTTCCTTTAGGATAATAAATTAATACTTTATTGATGGGACCAATTATGATGACTGCTGAATTTGACACAGGTCAATTAACACCGTCGCCACCACCACAATCAAATGGACACAGCGATCCTAGATCACAACTTGAAACAACACTTGAATCTTTAATCAATAGATTATGGGACATAACAGTAAAACTCAATGAATATGACAATCACCAGAATAAACAGTCATTAACGAACTCATTGTAGGTTTTTTTAGTTTGACAAAAAAAATTTTACTTATTTATGATTTTTTTTAATCTTTATTATTCTTGTTATTATACAAGATAGAGTGGATCTTGCAACATTATATGAAAGGGTAAATACACTTCAAGAAAAAATCAAACAAATAGATGTACCTATAGATGTAATAGAGTAAGCTTTAAGATTATTATAAATTATTGCTTATGATAAATGTTAAAGTCTTATAATAATGATGATTATGATAATGATTGATGATATTTATTTTTAAAATTGCTAGTTCTATTGATGAAGGTAAAAATCCAGATATTTATATGAGAGATTACGTTGAAGAAGTTATGGTTGAGCACATGTCCGTAATAAATAAAAATAATGCTGTGATGGTAAATTATTAATTAATTAGTAATTATCAAGTAAAAATTATTTTATTAATCATAGTGATAATTTTTAATTAATGATTTAGGATTTTAAGGATTCGTTTTTAAACCAATTAGGAGAAATATTTCCAGAAGAAACTAATATTTACAAAAATAAAAAATCTTGAATAATGACAATAATAGTTTTTAGAACATTAGAATTAATATAAATATATAGATTTTAGTTAGAGAATTATATAATAATTATTAAAGAAAAATCTTGGTTTTCTTATATATATAAAATAACAACCAATAATTTTTTCTTTGCTTTTTTATTGATAAAATGCCCTAATTATTTATAATTTTAATTCTATTCATAATTTGTTTTTTATTTTAATTTTTAAATTTTTATATTATTATAATTATTATTTATTTATATACTTTTAATAATAATAAAATTTGTTTCATCCAATTGTTCTGGTTCTAAGTTTGCAGATGACGATGATGATGGGTTTAATAAACAATAAAATCACAACTATTTTTTCACTATCTGGTATTACTTAAGGATCGAATTATCTATGCTCCAATAATATTATTATTATGATAATTAGAATAAAATATAAAATTTAATTTGTATTAAAACTACATACTTTTGGATCGACATAATCTAAACCACCATCTGGTTCTCATATTAATATATTAATATGCTCTAACGGGTGAATATTTTTTCTACATATTAACAGGATAGGCAATTTTTAAGTTTCATCACTAGTTTAGGATCAAATAAATAATTTACCCAAGATATTATATTTGGGTAATTTGAAAAATGATCGGCAAAATTTCCTCATATAGATATATATATATATATATATATAAAAAAAAAAAAATTTTTTTTCTGAAAAAAAAAATAAACAAGACCACTCTCTCAAGGTAAAGTGTATATTTCTTTTTAAGTAATAATTAATGGTCAATATGATGCATAAATGAAATTTCTTCACTTTCTGAAAATTTCACACATTTTAAACATGATGTATTTTAGGACACCTCTGAGTGACTGTTAATATTAATATAGATTATTTTTTTCTGCTACTAAAGAAAATTTTTTTTTTTCATCAAGTTTATTTATTTATATATTTTTTATATTTTTTTATAATTTATAGATGACGCCAATTGTATTTTTCAATAATTCTAAATTTCTTTAACGAAAAGAGATCAACTATATCCATTCTCTATTGATTATTAATAACTTATATATGAATTAATTATCGATTACAAGGAATTAATTGATTTTCTAATATAATAGTTACAATTTATAAAGACTTTTAATATTCAATCTATAAAAAGAAAATAAAATAAATAAATAGATGGATGGATGGATGGATGGATGGATAAATATGAATAATAATCCTCCAGACTGATAATTACATAAAAGTATGATGCTTCTTTAAAAATTATATTTGAATTTTGTTATTTGATCAATGTAATCATTATCGGAATCTTATCATCATTATTACAAGTCTTTGAATATTAAGTTTGACTTCTTGTAATGATTACAGATTTCTTCCTTTAAACCCCCCCCGTTTTTTGAATTTGTTTAAAACAATATTCCATAAAATCGTTCCCGAAATTGGTTTGCGACAGACGTGACGCTTTTAATATATCTTTAAATTTCAAATGTGAAAATGATTCTATATCATTTTTTGGGGATATGAATTTCGAAGAGAACATCTCTATATCTTTTAATTCTCTGCAATCATCAATCAAATATATTACAACAAATTATTGTTGCTGCGATAGTAGATCATTTCCGATCATGTGACAAATACATTATTATCATCATCAAAAAATTTTTTAATTATTAATAAATAAATATGAAGGAAGAAGAGGAAGCTTTAGTTTTAGATTCTGAAGGGAAACCACTTTCCAAAAAAGCATTAAAGAAATTGGAAAAAGAAAAGGAAAAAGAAAAAAAGAAAATTGAACGTGAAGCAAGAGAAGCTGCTGAAAAAGCCGCACGTGAAAAAGCGGAGGTAAACTTTTTTCATTTCTTTTTTATTGATGGGAAATGAAAAGAAAACAAAGATGTCTATTTTTTTCTTGATTGATTACTTTTAATGATAATTGATTCGTTTTTTGTTTTTTAGGGTTATGGCTCAGAAAATTATGGTAAAAAACCAATGAATCAATCACAAGAGAGGACCAGTATGTATAAATTGCGTAATCCTTACACTAGCTATTTATTTTTGATAGCTTGTATAAATATACATTTATATTCTTAGGTGTTAAAAGAACTTTGATATCTGATATTAATGCTAGTCGTACTGGTGAAACAGTAAACATTCGAGCTAGAGTACAAACCTCAAGACCAACCAGTAAGAATTAACTAATTGATCAACTTGATTGACTAATTAGCTAAATGGTTAAATGGTTTGTGTGTATTGCTAGGTTCAAAACTTGCATTCTTTGTTTTTAGGCAACAAAATGCTACAATTCAAGGTGTTTTAACTGTCGATGAAAAAGATGTGAGCAAAGGATTCGTTAAGTTTGCTTCCAAGTAAAAAAACCTAATAATAATAATAATAATAATAATTTATATGATTTCATAATTAGTATTTTATATTATTATATATTCATCTATTACTCTAACAATTATTATTTTCTATTATTGTTTTTTTATATATAATAGTATTCCTGATGAATCCATAGTCGTTATTGAAGGTATTGTTAGTAAGCCAAGTGAAGAAATTAAAAGTACTACTGTATCTGATGCAGAATTACATATCAAGAAAGTAAATACCATTCATCATCATCAATTTGTTATTTATATATAATTTTATTTTTTAATTACAACTATATTATTATTATTATTATTAGCTTTATGTTATCAGTGAAACTGCTGGTCGACTTCCATTTTCTTTGGAAGATGCATCTAGAACTGAAGAAGAATTTAAAAAGGTACATATATGAGTATGAGATATGTGATTAATATAGATATATATTTATTTATTAACATATTTATTTAGGATGATGCTCAATATAGTCGTGTTGCATTAGATACACGATTAAATCATCGTATAGTTGACCTTCGTGTAAGTTTATTGACTTGATTAATATTTCAAATTTGTGAACCAATCAGATTAGAAAATTAACCATTTTAATACTTGATAATAATAATTCAATTTAAAAATGAAAGACAATAACAAATAATGCAATTTTCCGAATTCAATCTGGAGTTTGTCAATTATTTCGTGATTTTCTTTTATCAAAGAATTTTATCGAGATTCATACACCAAAAATAATTAGTGCGGCTAGTGAAGGTGGTGCAAATTTATTCACAGTGAAATATTTCAAAGGTATTATTTATTCTTACATAAATACATACGTAAAGTGTTTGACGAAAATTAAATTAAAATTTCTTTTTATTAAAATAAAAAAAAATTAGGTGAAGCATACCTTGCACAATCACCACAATTATATAAGCAAATGTGTATATGTTCAGATTTTGAGAGGGTATTCGAGATAGCACCTGGTAATTCACTTCACATTTATAAATATATATACAAATTATTCCTTCAACAACAATCAATAATAATAACAATTATAATATTTATTCTATCTACAAAATGATAGTTTTCCGAGCAGAGAATGCAAACACTCATCGACATATGACAGAATTTGTTGGACTTGATTTAGAGATGGCTTTTGAAGAACATTATCATGAAGTACTTGATATCCTAGATGAATTATTTGTCTATATTTTTGATGGATTGAAAACACGATATAAATCGGAAATCGAAGCCATTAAAAAACAGTTTCCTTCGACTGATTTTGAATATAATTCACAGAAAAGCTTAAGATTGGAATATAAAGA